CTTTCAAATAAATCATTGTATTACAAAAAGAAAGTATTCCCTTACTATCCAGGATTGTTGGAAGTAAGTGTTGTGATTTGAAGAGGATTTTTCTTCATTCACATTAGTGTTTGTTTGACCTTAAAGGTGTTAAGAACCTTTGGTCGCCCTATAGGTTAGATAGTAAGCATAGGCTGTACAATCATTCTAAACTATAGTGAAATCTCTTTTGTGTTGGAAAGGGGACTGGAGTACTCTCGGATTGTAAGGGGAACCAGGATATATCGTCGTGTTCTTTACTTTTCCGCTTTTATCGTTTTCATCACCATAATCAAGAAAAGATAAGATATAGTCAAAAACCTTCAAACACTTAACCAAATTACTACAAGTATTCTCATAAAACCGAATAAATTTTTATATACCTAATTCACCCCCCCTCTTAGGCACTCTTAGACTTACAATATATATATATATATATATATATATATATATATATATATATATATATATATATATATATATATATATATATATATATATATATATATATATATATATATATATATATATATATATATATATATATATATATATATATATATATATATATATATTCCATTTTCATTAGCATAAAATTCATTCAATAATGCACCCGAGGTTCTGAAGCTAGGGTTTTTTTCCAGTTGCTTTGAGGTTTACATATCAAATGAAGTCTCATTCTTCTTAAATAAGTGAATGTAGGGAATTAGGGTGGATTAGCTAATGCTAGGGTTTCCATCAACACTTCAAAGGAGAATCTTTTGAGCTATGGTTCATCCTCTAGTTCTCAAACTATTGGGTTTCTCCAAGACATTCTTTTTGTGCTGAGATCATTGGTCATTAAGATTTGGGGATTGAATGGTAAAGCAGGATGCATGATACAAGATGTGGTTTATGGTTTTATTATGGTCATCTATATTGTTTATTAGTTGTGGTTTGTCATGCAAGTTGCTAGTGGATTTGAGGTTGAAATTTAAAAGGCACTTTGAGAAGGGGAATTGAATTTTAAATCGATATTTGAGCATAATTTTGTTCACTTCATCAAATTCATTTAATACTTACAATATTGGAATTGAATGTATGTTTCTTTTCTCATTCATTCAAGATCCATTCATAGTTCATTAATGTTGATATTAATCTCCAGAGGTCAGTGGTTCCGAATCTCATTTCCCTATTGATGTTCAGAGGGATTTTTCTCTACAAAAGTTCATATGTGTAAAGATAATTATTCAGAAGTTCCTGCTCTTCTCAACCGCCGATTATTGACGTGCTTTCCCCAGTGAATTGCTAAACATGCATCATTACATGTGTAGTATTTCCATTATATGGAGCATTACGCTATATAAATATTCAAAAATGCATTAAGGTATAAGACAATTATGTTCACCTGCAGTAACCGAATTATCATGCGCTCATATTTGAATTATCTCCATAACAAGCTCAGGGTGATTCTATTATGTTTCCTCGGTGGAGTCTATTTTGATTTACCACTAGTCGGGTCTTTGGTGCTTTCCATTTCCCCTGTGAGTCGTGCTTTCCCTTGTCCTTGCAAGCCGTTGATTAGTTTTACCTATATTTTCCTTGCCTTCTGAGTGCGACTAAGAGTCAGTGTATAACCTTTCTTATTTCTAGAATATTTGAGTATCCATGCTCGGTGTGTGGTAATTCAGATAATTGCCACTCTTGAAGAATTACACCCCGCTTTTGGACTGAGGGATATTGTGGTTCTTGCACATTTGCAACCTATCCAAAGCCCAACATTTTTTGACAATCCTTGTTAGAGTCCCCTTCGGCTGGTCTCTTTCTCTTATAGAGTTCACCTCCGATTGGTGCTCTCTGAAGGTTCTGCTTAGTCAGTTCCTTGCATTTGGTATCTGCATTAGTCGAGTTCTCCTTCTGTTAGCTTAAATAACATTCTCTATTAAGAGTCCTTCAGTGTCTCTTCAAAGTCCAGTTGTCTAGCATCCTTGGTTAGGAGAATGCGTCACTTCTTGTTGGGGCTTTCTTGATATAGTTTCTTTCTCGTGTTCGTACTAACTATTAACATTTGTTTCTTAATGCCCAATTTTTCTTTTGTGTGTCTAACTCATACCATACATGCATATCTTTATCCCCTGTGAGTTCGCCTTTGATCATCGTTCTTTTCTTAAGAGTCTACCTTCGGCTAGTATTCCTTGATAAAGATTCCCCTTCAGATGGTTTCTTTATTCTTAAATCCATATTCGGCTGGTAACCTTTGTTAAGAGTCCCTTTCGACTGGTCTCTTTTCATTTGTAAGTTCGCCTTTGATCGGTGTTCTTTTCTTAGGAGTCTACCTTCGACTAGTATTCCTTGATAAAGATTCCCCTTCGGCTGGTTTCTTTATCCCTAAATCCATCTTTGGTTGGTACCTTTTGTTAAAAGTCCCCTTCGGTTGGTATCTCCTCATTGTAAGTTCTCCTTTGATCACTGTTCTTTCCCCAAGAATCTACCTTCGACATAGTATTCCTTGATGAAGATTCCTCTTCGACTGGTTTCTTTATTTTTAAGTCCACCTTCGGTTGGTACCCTTTAAATCCACCTCCGGATGATAACTTTTGTTAAAAGTCCTCTTTGATTAATCTCTTTTCATTGTAAGTTCGTCTTTGATCGATGTTCTTTCCCTAGGAATCTACCTTTGGCATAGTATTCCTTGATGAAGATTCCCCTTCGGCTGGTTTCTTTATTTAAGTCCACCTTCAACTGGAACCCTTTAAATCCACCTTCGGATGGTACCTTTTGTTAAGAGTCCCCTTCTGCTGGTCTCTTTTCATTGTAAGTTCTCCTTTGATCGGTGTTCTTTCCCTAAGAATCTACATTCGACATAATATTCCTTGATTAAGAGTCCCCTTCGGATGGTCTCTTTTCATTGTAAATTTTCCTTTGATCGGCTTTCTTTCCCCAGGAATCTACCTTCGGCATAATATTCCTTATTGAATATTCCCCTTTGGCCTGTTTCTTTATCTTGAAGTCCACCTTCGACTGGCACCCCTTAAATCCACCTTTAAGTGATATCAATTGTCAAGAGTCCCCTTCGGCCGATCTCTTTTCTTTGTAAGTTCGCCCTTGATTAGCATTCTTTCCCCTTTAAATCCACCTTCGGCGGGTATCATTTGTTAAGAGTCTCCTTCGGTTGGCCTCTTTACATTTGTATGTATTCCATCGACCTGACATACATCTCCTGATAATAGAAAATACAGAAAAAAACCAAAATTACAATAATACCCGACTGGCTTAGGAGTGCAAATTTTCAGGTTCTTTTAGTATTTAATATTCTTCCACCTTGAATGTTCGAAAGGCTAGTGTCAATCTCACCTTCAGGTTTAGGACGATTAAATAGGGGTAGTTGTTGCATCCTAACATTTTGCCTCATAATTTCTTTTGTCTGGCTTAGACTTTTACATTCATCTGCATATATTCCATTTGCATTAGCATAACATTTATTCAACAATGCACCTGAGGTTCAAAAGATCAGTGATCCTGAAGCTAGGGTTTTTTTCCCCAGTTCCTTTGAGGTTTACATATAAAATGAAGTTTGATTCTTCTTCAATCAGTGAATATATGGAATTAGGGTGGATTGGCTAATGTTAGGGTTTCCATCAACACTTCAGAGGAGAATCTTTTGAGCTATGGTTCATCCTCTAGTTCTTAAACTATTCACCTTCAAGGCTTCTCCAAGACTTTTTTTTTGTGTTGAGATCATTTGTCATTGAGGTTTTGGAATTGAATGGTAAAGTAGGATGCATGATACAAGATGTGGTTTATGGTTTTATTGTGGTTATCTCCATTGCTTATTGGTTGTGGTTTGTCATGCAAGTTGCTAGTGGACTTGAGGTTTAAAGTTAAAAGGCTCTTTAAGAAGGAGAATTGAATTTTGAATTGATGTTTGAGCATAATTTGGTTCACTTCATCAAAGTCATTTAAAACTTACAAGATTGGAAGTGAATGTATGTTACTTTGCTCATTCAATCAAGATCCATTCATATTTCATTCAAGTGGTTACTTTAGTTCAAGTTTTCAAAAATTGGATGAAGTTGTTAAGATGCAAGTATATGGATTGTTTGAAGTTAAGATTCTTTACAGGGAAGAGAAGTTATATTCATTCAATCATCCATTCTTCAAGTTCGTTCAAAGTATCCCATTTATGGCTTGAGGTACAAGTTGTTGTGCAAAGCTTGATGTGTAGGCATCTCAAGGGCCGTGTGTAAGATTCAAGGTCAAGAGGTTTTGTTGTGTCAAGTCAAAAATATTAGTTCAAGTCTAGAGAGGATTGGTTTGGATTCAAGCTTACGGTATTTCATTTTCAAGAGTTTTTTCTTGGTTTGGTTATCTAAAGTCAATTTCAAAGTTCCTATTGAAACTATTCCTTTTACCATCAGAGTTAAGTTTCAAATTACACTTGAATCATGTGGATCATTGTATCAAACCATCCATTACAACAATACTCGAACATACTGAAGCAATGCTGGTTACATTCTAGAATCTAGATACAAGTATTACAAATGCAAGTTGTGCTATTACAAAACAGTATAACAAAAGGTTCATGGAAAAGAAACTTGTTATATTGTTGACCGGAGCTTTGACACTTAGCTATGTCCCTAAAAATTAGGTCTTCAAGTAACTCTCAAGTCTGTCAATCTCACCATCCATTTTCTAACAGAAAATTCAGATTCAAAGGTCAAGATGAATTTACCTGTAACAAACTTTTAGAGATATAACAAAATCACAATCTTCAATTCATTCTTCAATCTCCAGAAGAAACACAAAGATATTTGAAAATCTCTTTCCTCCTCTCATCTTCATCTTCATCATTCTTCACCTTGGCGAATCACCAAAAACCAGAAAACTCTCCAATCTTTCTCTCTAAAAAAATCATGAAATCTTCATCACCTTGCATCACTCTTCTCTTCTACGCATGACCTTCAACCGTTATCACTCCAATCTTCAACAAAATCGTCACTTCAATGCACAACATCGTTGAGTCCTCACATCAACGTGCTTCCATCTTCAACCTTCATCACTTTCACACCTTCGTATCTTTCTCGGCAACATATCGCTACATCTCTGTTTCAGTCATCACCATCATTTGCATTCAAGAATTTCAGGCAACAATAGTTCGTAATGCTGACACGCGTGAAAGCGCAGAAGAAGAAGTTATCGGAATCATGAACTGAAAAAGAAGAAGTAAAGGTTGAACTCAAAGTCAGAAGGATTACTGGATTAGTGTCTGAACTCGTTGGAAGAAGATGAAACAAGGAATACAAATGTAATCAGAATAAAGAATAAAAGAGGTTTGAAGAACATTCTCGCGGTGGATGAACGATGATTCACGGCGGCACTTGGTCCAGTTGCGAAACCTTGGCGGTGCGATAATGAAGTAGACAGAGGCAGGTCTGTCATGGCGGTGGCGTTGTCTCAAAGAGTGGAACGAAGGCCGGAACAGAAGGAGTCCATCGAAGTTGAAGGTGGTGATGCGCCGTCGAGTTATGAGGAAGAAGAAGGTCTAGAGGTTGAACTTTCATTATCTGTTAACCCTAGATTCCTTTCTAAAATACATCATTCCAAGCTTTTTGCCCTCTTTTCATTCATTATTATATTTATTTATTTATTTTTGTTAATTGATAACTTTTGTTCACATGTGATAATGTTGTTGATGGATAGTAAGGGTGGTATATGGATTAGACCAGATCTGCGTCCTTAGGCCCGTTGATGTTTTTTGACAATTAAAGCCATTGTCACCGAAAATTTTGCTATTGGACCTCAAGATTGAGCCTTAGTGTAGGAGATGGATTCCTGATCACTTTCTTTCCAGCGTGCACCATCCTTTCTTATTTGAATTTTAGTATTGTTTCTTAAATTTTTAGTAATTAATTTTTGTTGGTTTCTCTTATGATTTTTGTTGGAATTTTATGTGAATATTAATAGGTTAGTCCTTCACTTAGATATATATTTTCATGATTTTTTTCTCTTATTTTAGGAATTAATTCATGATTATTGGATTACTTGAGATTTGTGATTCACTTTTACTTGTCGAGATCTGAGTCTTATGCATGTTTATTGTGTGATATACTGATATGCTTAAGATTTCGATTGTGATTCATTTTCACATCGATGGTGTTTCGACATTTATTTCTAGCATTTGATTTCTGAATCTTTTCTGTTTCTTGGTAAAGTTTGCTTGAAGTTTTTCGGGTTTCTCTGCTTTGCTTGGTGTGCAACAAACTTTTGTTCGTTCGGTATCATTCTGACTTCGGTTTATCTTTTCCGCACTTTATTGCTTTCTAGATATCATGGTAAGTAGGAAATAAAGAGCGTGCACTCGAAGTCGCTGTTTAAAGACCTGTAGCAGGCATTCCGCACTTGTTTTCTAATTGTGTTTGTGTTTGTTTTCTTGGATTGGCGATCAATGATGTCAATAAATTAGAATTGAGATAACGACTTCGATTTTTGCATGATCCCCTTAGGATTTTCATTTTCCTTTGTTGACGATCGATGATGTCACTCAATTAGAATTAAGATAATGACTTCGATCTTTGCATGCTCGCCTTAGGGTTTTATCATTTTCCTTTGTTGACGATCTATGATGTCACTCAATTAGAATTGAGATAAAGACTTCGATCTTTGCATGTTCACTATAGGATCGTTGTCTTCCCCTATCTGATTTGATATATATACCTATGGTTAGGATATTCCCCTTTACCTACCTCGATTCGTGATATCTTGGTTAGGCCTCTTTTACTTGACTTAGTGTGCACTACTCTCGCCATGTATGTGGTCACTTTTTTTGATTTTGTTGCTTGTTTGAGGTGCACCACTCTCGCCATGTATGTGCTTCCTCGCTTGTTTGTTTCTTGTATATGACATGTTCCCTTAGGGTCACTCGATTAGGGTAGATTTCGAGCTAGACATTAGGATAGTTATCCATGCATGCTAACATAGGGTAGAGATTTCCCTTTTCATCCTTGACATAGGGTCATCATTATATGATAACGTTACGAATTAGAGATAGGTTAGTCTCCCTTAGATGTTTTTCTTTCTTTTTGCATCCTTAAAACTAAAACCTTTTTCTTGTCTAATGCATAAAACATCTAACAACTTTCAAATCCTTTTTCAAGGTAAAAAACACCAACTAATGCAAACTCTTTTTTGCCTCCAGGACCTTTCTTTCAAAACTTTCAAAAGAACATGTTAATTTACTTCTGTGCTGACGCGTGAGTCTCCAAAGGTCGAGCCGTGATAGTGTTTATAGTGATTTCTGGTAAACAACCGCTAGTCCTCCAAACTATCAAATAATATTAATGATTGTTATTTAATCTCTCTGGTAACTTGCAGGATCGACTAGATTGATCCTATGGTGTATTGGTCGTTTGGATAATTCTCATTGTAGAACTGATATTCATGGTTGGTATTTAGAATGTTGTGTGGGCGTTCAACTTACTTCGATTACCATATTAAAGATCTAGTGACATGATCAAGTAAAGACGTGTGAAACTAAATTGCATGAATAAAAGTTCGATTGTAAAGACATGTAAAACTGCAAGAAACAAGTAAATAACTTTGAAGTATAAAAGCATGTAATGTAAAAGGGTTTCTGAAACGTAAAAGATTCGAAATAGAAAGAAAGCGTTTAAATGCAAGAAATCAGTAAATGACTTTGAATGAAAAGGTATTCGAATGACAAAAGCATGAAGATAAAAGCGTGAAATGCAAAAGAGTTTTTGTAATGTAAAGTACTCGAAATAGAGGGAAAGACTTTCAAATGCAAGAAACCAGTAAATGACTTTGAATGAAAAGATTTTAATGTAAAGGCTTTTGAATGATAATGACATGAAGATAAAAGATAAACTGGAAATGATAAAGAGTTTTACTGAATCATAGATATTTGGTGTTATCATACGTACATTGTTCGAGCATTCGTTTCCCTAGCCATGTGGTATTTTGAATGTTTACTGAATTTTGTACAATAGATATGACACACGAAATCCTAACGCTAAGACTTCTATTTATACTATTTCGACCATAACGGTCTTGCCTATAAGATCCTGCCACGTTCAGAACATGCAGAACACTGCCCTTCTCTAGCTTCCACGCGTCTTCGAATGCTCCAGCGCATATATTTTAAATTTCGGACATCCCGCTTGCGTTTGAATTTCAAATGTTTTGGCACTCTTCGCTTCGAACTCATTTCTTGGACACAGCCTTGTTACCACTTCGAGACTTCTTTTGAATATATCACCATAACTGTCACTCGAAGCTCCGAGTTTTGACATGCCCATTTGAAGCATTGCTTCTACCATTTCGAACCATGACATCTTGCTTTATTCCAACGAAAACATCCAACTTGCTTCGCTTTCATACAGTATCATCAAAATCTTCAGCCAACAAAATGCCCCTTTAAAATATGTATTTCGATCCTTTGAGAAACACTTATTTTAAATATACATGCAAGATTTTGATGTGACCTTTGAGTAATTGTAACATTTATTGAGTAGGACTCCAATCACGTCAATCACGACGCCTTTTGGATTCCTTAACCGTCTTGAATTAGTATTTCACAGCATGGTGCAGTTATAAAACAATGATTATTATTAATCACGCCTATTACCAATATCAACTTTTACGCCACCTCCTTCTCAATCCAACCCACGACTCCCACGTATCCTAGTCTTACTCAGTGGATGTTTAAACTTCCACACTATAAAAACCCATCAACTTAGTCTTTTATTTTTTCTTTCCACATTTTGAATCTTTTCTTCCTCTCTTCTCACCGAAACCCTAAAACTTCCAACAATCTTCAACAATGTCTTCTACAACATCATCCCAACTGAAGAAAACTTCCAAAAAGAAAGGAAATAACACAAGAACAATAATGGAAAGCAAGGTTGGTACTTATCAAGGTCAATCTGTGCTTATCCCCTAAATGATCTCCAAAGAGAAGGAAATGATCTACGCATCTCAGGTACTAATTCCAACTAATGCTGCTGGAAAGAGGTTTGCTCTAATGGGTCCTCTTACAGTCTTTGAAATCTTAAAAGATACTAGAAAAATCTTCCCTGTTTGTTATAACTTTAAGCCTTTGTTTAATAAAATGGATATCCCTAAGACAGGCGAGTCTTCTGATTCGACAACCGTGGAAACTCCAATCGTTCCCCCAAAAGACTCCTTTGTGCTAGACTATGTGAAAAGCAACTTTAAACTGTTTCGATCCTGCCCTACCTTTGACACAGCTTACCAAAATTGGTTTACTAAAGTAGAAGCCAAGAAATCCCAGCAATGGGAGGAATTAGGAATTTACAACTTGATTAAGTTATCGAAACCAGGCTTCACCTATAGTCATCCATTATTATTTGCGTCCTTATATTTCTGGGACAGCACCTACAACACCTTCCATCTCCCTGGGGGAATGATTACACCCACATTTTTTGATATAGCAGCCATTACTGGTTTGTCACCAGTAGGAGAAACCTACATTCCTGACAATGAAGAGCACTCGAGCATTATTGACTTCGAAGTCAAATTAGCCAGCTTTTCAAAGTTCATTAGCCACTACCACACTGAAGGAGATAATGTGTCTGACGTGGAACACATTGCTTTCCTCACCTTATGGTTATCAAGGTATGTATTCTGCAGCAGGTCCTTACAGGTAGTCAGCAGGTTCATCCCTCTAGCTAGAGACTTACATGAAAATAGGAGGGTGTGTTTAAGCGAACTGTTACTTGTTGATCTTTACGAAAGTTTAAGATCAGCCGTTTCGAGTTTGAAATCTCACACTCCCAAAAACATCCTTCTAGCTGGCCCCTTCTGGTTACTCCAGTTATGGATTAATGCCATGTTTGAACCCTCACTATCAACTGCTAACACTATTGTTGAACAAGATCCGGAGATAGCGGATAGAATCATTGAAGGTACTAGGCTGCGAAGACTTACCCCAAACGATGATAAAGACGACTTCAAAGTTCTCTTCTCCAACTATATCATGATTTTCTCCAAGAGACACAAATTCGAAGAGACCATGGCGCCCTTCGCTTCAAGGACTCATGGACCATCATGGTTCACCATGGCTCTCTCAGAAGCAGTTAAAAGCAAAGAAATTCAAGATATTTGGAAAGCCTTTTTGCTTCCCAGATTAATCTCCTCACGAATCACTCCTTCCAAGAATGAAATCTTCCTTTTT